ATTTGAGAGCAAGAGAGAAGAAAGAATTAATATTATTTATCGCCAAAAGGTCGTGATCGAAGTCTTTGCTGAAAAATTCTGCCCAGCTGGCAAAATGAGATATATTTATGAAAAATTGCAACGAAGCTTGAGATGTTCTGCAAAGTAACTCAAGCGATACGGATACCGCCCGCCGTGAGCGGGCCGGATGGGGAGAATACTGCCCACTCTCGGAACCAATCAGATTGCAGGATTCATAGAATACCGCCCGCTCACGAATTGAGAAAAAAATAAATCGGTGATATTTGAGCGATATTTCCGTTGGAAAGACATATCGGCGATATATCACCTAGCTATTGTTTCAACAACCGTGAGATATCGCTAATATTGTTAAGCTCCTCGCGAATTATCGTTTTCCCCTGAGCGATATATCGTTGCAGTTCAACGATATGTCGTTTTCTCCTCCCTGATTCATCGTTTATATTCAACGAGATATAGTTGCCGCCTAACGATATTTCGTTTATACTAAGCGAAATATTGTTTATGTTGTTAGCGTTGGCAAGATATCGCCACCGCTAAACGTTAGATCGGTGTGGCAACATTGCGTCCCTCAGCGAATTTTTCATCAGACTGATACTGTCTGAGTGTGTAGTATAGTAAATGTATTATCCTATTCGAAACCTGCTTCATAAGCGTGAAATGGGAAGTATAATGAATTTAAGCCAGTGTCGCTACATACCGCGTCGGCTATGGTCGAAGTTCGCCACACGTTCTCTGCACATCAGTTGAGCAAGTTCGCTACTACACAGAAGAAAAAACATTATAGGAAAGATTATATTTATTTCCATACTATCTAACAAAGGAGACAAGCGAGAGCGAGGAAAAGACAGCTTCTAAAAATGGTACTCAGGGAAGGGTGTTAAACTTACTATTTTAGGGCGTTGCAAGGTGTTATTGTCTCTCCATGGTAACCAACCTGTATTTGCATACGATGTACTCCCAAGACAGTACAGTTGACAGTCCATTTTAGCATAATCGTGCCGATGGTTACATAGGTTACTTGTCTCCATCAGGAAGGATTTTATCCCGTCGAAATATTGATAGCCTTGAGACGCGAAAATCTACATGGAAGCCTACAGGTTTCCTTTTTTATTGCAGGCACGAGACCAAAACTGAGACTTAACTCTTTTTTTAGTTAAACTTTGCTCTACTACAAAAAACAGTGAGGATAATTTAGGGCGGACAGAATCGGGCAATGATATTCCTTGTCTTTATTCTATTTTATGCCACAAAAACCAAAGCGTGTGCGTAGATTTCATTTAACTCAAAAACAAGGGTCTTAGCACTTTCTAATCACGGGGAACCCATACAAGCGGCGTGTCTGGTCGTTTGTTCGTCAAGGAATGTCTATGTTAAGGCTCAAAATAAATGTAAACCTACCTCAATTGCTATGTATTGTCGTTTCTGTGGTTCTAAATGGCTAATTTTGAGCGACTTGGTGGGTTTTGCGTTGACTGTTACTTTACGTTATAAGAAGGAGACAAGGGTGGAAAGCTCATTTTCGACCGCTCCAACGCGAAGCCGATTTTCACCCAGAAATTAGAATCGCTCGGCT